TAAAGTTTAATATAACAAATATATGGCGATATTTTACTTATTTTAGTGCTATAATTCACTTGCAACACATTGCCAAACTTTGCGTGTCTGTTTGATCTTGTTTCGGGCTCAAAACTAACCTTTAGTTATTTTTTTTTTTGTTCAGTTGTACCATGAAGACCTGAGCTGAATATAAAAATCATTGAAAGATTCTCAAACAGCTGTTGTGTGGTACGTGATGTGATCAAAATAATATTTAGAAAATTCAGCATAACCAGAAGCAGCTGTTGTGTGGTGCATGATGCGATCAGATGTTCAGAAAATTCATCGTAACTGGAAGTACATTTTGAGCCCAATCAGGGCAAAATCGCTTTTTGAAAACTTTTACCCAAGAAAGCTAGGGGTAGCAAATGGTCCATCAAAAACTCTGGGTCTCGCAAAATTTTCGCTGAATTTCACGGGTCTCGCAGTCTTTGCATTTTAGCAGTTATGTTCATCTCGCAGTCTATTTTTTCACAAAGCTGTGTCGGAGTCTTAATTTCTTTCACAAAGCTGTCTTGTAGTCTCGATTTTTGCAGGATTGAAAGTTTTAATAGTTACGCTACTTTCAAATTTCTGAGAAAAAAATTAATCCTAAATAATTATTGTTCCACCTCTTCCAAGATATCAGCAATGTCCAGCTAGTTTGCAAAAGCTGGCCAAAAGACTAGAATCAAGGGAAATAAAACAAACCCAAACAGGCATGATAACCAATGTAAAAAGTCAAAATGTCTCTGGCTTGCAAAGATAATCTCTAGTTTCACCACCTTGCAAAGTCTTACATTTACCATTCACCATCCCTAAAGCTGTATCAGAAGAAACTAACTTAGTCTGTTGTATTCTTACCAGGACCTATCTATGGGCTAAATATGCGTGAAATCAATTTTTCAACTTGTGCCACCAAAAGTCAATTTTGGTTGATTTTTATGGACAGTCACTCTCAATCTTTTTTATCCAAATGTCTCCTAAACTGGCCAAAGCCATCCTTGAGGGAGCATGGTCCTTGTGTACCTGTGACATCATCACATTTTGTACCAATTGTTTTGGATAACCAGTTGATAAACTGACTGCTTAAATGAGTATGATTGGATGAATTCATTGAACCCAAGATGCATAAAATAATCCTCTGGCAATCAAAGAAAAATTGGCCCACCCCCGGTATCATAGAGAATGGAAAATATCAACTTACATTGCCATCTTGGTGACAATGTTTCCAATAGGAACAATTAAAGGTGACTGAAAAGTAAAAGAAAAACACCAAATAAAAATAGGGAAGAAGAAAACAAAATGACTAAAAGGGAAAAGAAGAAAAGCATGAAGTGGTTACAGCTTTTCCTAAGTCAAATGTTGTTGCCCAAATACCCGAACAAAAAACCAAGCTGACCTGAAAGAGACGGCAAATGTTAGCTTCCATCTTTAAATGGCACATTTAAGACAAGGGCAGAATTATTTATCTGGCATGGATAGGCACTCTTAGAGAAATTCCCAGTTGTCAATGGGTTAAAGTCAGTGTAGGTTAAGCATAACTTAAAACCTTCTATTCATGGTTATCACTCATTCTAATTCTCAGTATGATGCAGAACATGAGACTTCACAATCGGAATGTGAGAGTTATGAAGATGAAAATGAAACAGAGACAGATAAGGTTTGTATTGAAGCACAGACACATCTCGCCTCTTGATTTCTTGTTCTTCAATTTTACAAAACATAGTAACACCTACAAAACTATTGCACCAAGTGTAAAAGTTATAAAAAAAAGTCATTACAATACACTTTTACTACGCACCAAAAGTAGACTTCATGGCAATTGCATACTGCAATTGTATCTTTTGGATCTTTTTTGAGTGACTTAAGGTTTTAGTGATTTGTGCACTATTGAATGGTTTAGAAGCTTGTCCTCTGCCATGATTTTAAGGTATAAACCCATACCAGGAGGACACACCTGATTTTCATACACTTGACAACTACTACTACTATCTATAGTAGTTTACTAAAGCTGTGTTTGTCCAAATCCATTGTGCTCTTTAAAGAATATTACATGGTGTCAGAGGTAAAATATGAAACAGTAATTCAGCCACTGATCTACCAAAGATCTGGATAAAATGCAGACCTTATTCCAGAGCAGTCAACATTGGTGATCATAGTTCATGTCCCAAGATAAGTTGAATCCAATTGTGTCGGAGGGGAAAGAAAACATCAGAGAAATACAGCAATTGCAAGTTGATGACACAGAAAGCACCAAAGAAATACAACAATTACCAATTTAAGATGAAGAAAATACAGCTGAAATTGCAACGCAGTTAGGCCTTCCACCTCCAGAACCTCTCAACTTAATTAGTGGAAACATCTCGGGCCAACTGGAAGACATTCAAATTAATTCACAATAATTAATAATGACACAGGTTTGGGCTGAAGTGTTGTTGTTTAATATGAAAATCACACCCTAGGTGGGAGGGAGAGGGTGCAAAATTACAACACAGCTGGTCTAATGAGACAGAGCACAAGCTAAGGAAATCTGAGACCCCGAAGGTCTGATCTAATAGATCAAGTAATACTAAACTTCTTTGATCCTAGATCAAAACAATGCAACTATTTCATGTCAATCAATAAAGACACACATTTGGGCTGAAATATTGTCGTTTAATAAGAAAATCACACCCCTAAATAGCCCAAACGTGGTAGAAAATTTATGAAAAAAATGAGAGGCCGAAAAAAGAACACTAAAAGTTTTGCGCAAAATTTTGGTGTCTTTAAATTGCATACAAAGGTATGCAGTGTTCACACTGTTCAGTGACATTCCCTTGGAAATAACCCTGCAGTCATGACGTCTGCAACCTGGGAGCGGGTCTCCAGTGGGAGCGCCAGGTATACGCAGAAGGCATCCAATCACCAGTCACTGTAGCTTTATGAGGTGCTCTGGGATGCCAGACTGGAAGGCTAATGTAGTGCCACTGCATTGAAAGCTGTGAGGAGAGTAGTGAGCTGGATCAAGGCCAGTGATTAAAATGAGGTGTTTTAATGCTAAAGGTAGTAAAGGTAACAGGATGACGGCCAGAAGTAGTGGGAAGACAGAACAACAGTGCTTATGAGGAAGTGGGGACGAGCGTAAAGAATTGTAGAAGGGCAGACACAAGGCAGAGAATAGAGCCGGGAATGCTGGGAAGCAGAATGATAAGGAGGCCTTCCTTGTGGTGGAGAGTTTTCATCCAACGTATGCAAAGAAGTACTCTGGGTAACATCTTGGCGATGGCATCTGGGGTCGAAGGAAGTGGCTGAGGAAGTGGCCGAGGCTACTGTCAAGTTCAATTTGTGGAGGAAAGAAAAGAAAGCGGTGCAGAATAACGCACAGATTGTGGAGTGAAGAGGAAGGTTGGTGTTCAGGTGATGCCGTATTTCCAGGAGGATAGAGGGTGTGACAGGATGTTTCTGGTGGATTGCAGTTCCTAAGAGATGTTTTGATCCGCACTTTTTGAAAGAAACGTCAAAGTTGTCAAGGGTGTCAACTGTACAACTGTTGTAGCAGTGAAGAAGTCTGATGACATTAAGAGGATTCAAAACGTACTGGTGTGATGAGGTCTTGCGAGTGAGATAACAGGTGTGAGAGTCCACGGCATATGGTGAAGCAGGTACAGGGGTGAAGTCATAAGTGCGCAGAAATTCAATCATAACTTCCATTGAGAATGCAAATTGTGGAGAGTGCCAGGGGCATAGGCTTGTGCTTGGACTTGAGAGATAGGGTTGGCGAGGTTGGCTGCAGTGATTGGGTCAGTGAACTGAGTTGGCGAGGGCTGACTGCCATCTATGAAGAAGAGAGAAGTTAGAAGACTTTTTAAAGTCAAAACATCTGGGAGGACATGTCACATGAGTGGTAGAGGTGTGTGCAGTCAGCTGCTTGAATTGGGTCTCGTAAAGGGAGAAAGGTGTCAGTTGTAACCTTGGTGATGTCCTAGAAGGTGACAATTGTGAGGGTCGATATAGAGTTGGCAGTATGCCTGGCTTAAGTCCTTCTTGAAGAGGTAGCATCCAGACCCTTTGTTCCAGTTAAGCTCTTGTGAGTGGCTACCCAAAGACCCTAATAGTAATATAGAATATACAACTGATTGAATAATAGGTTCCCCATGCTCATTCCTGTTTCTACAATGTAGCTTTGACTGTCTGCGAATATTTTTGCATTTCACAGGATGCTCATGCAAGAAAACGAAGAGCAAGTAAGTGATTTTACTAATTGAACTCACAGCTCCCAGCTCATAACTAAAGCTGTGTCTTGAGAACCCGACAAAACCTTTGCAATTATGGCATTAAGTTTTTTATCGCAGTTTGAGTTGGCCATAACCTCATATTTTCCCTTGTCACTTAAAATTAAATAAGGGCGATCACATATATCTGGTAGATTTTGGAGATTGCATTTAGGGAGATATCTACAATCAACAGATGGAGGACCAATACTCTAATAATAATAATAATAATAATAATAATAATAATAA